ATGGTTAGTGATAACAAATAACAATGCAGTAGCGACCCTTTTGTAGGTGTAACTAATTTTTAACTAACCCTCATTTCTAAGAAATATTTGCTGTTTCAAGACTATTGGGATCTTGACTATTTCGTAAAAAAAAAAAAAAAAAAAAAAAATAGATCAACAACTTGTTTGATTTGTTGTGAAAATGTTATAAATAAAAAATATAATTTTGATCATCACTGTACTACTAAACACAAATCTTTCAATGGCTCTTATTCTTGAGGATCCATTTAAAAACGAGATAAATTGATTTTCATAAGAAAAAAACTTTGAAACAGCAATAAATATTTTGCAGGTGGTAATGTCACAAAATGCAGAGGTAACAAAAGCATTCCATAAAATTTAATACATTATATATATTGACAAACATATGAAATTGTTAATGATAAACTTAAGAATTATTGCAAAAATTGTTACAGTGTTTCTTAAATGCTTCCGATGTACTCTTTGATGAATTCAGTTATTTGTTCAGATATTGTTTTTTATAAAATCAAAAAGTATTTGAATAAATTGGAAACAAAAATGCGCAATAAGAACAGACTGTTTATACAGGTAATACTGATTTCAGTCTGTAGTTCAATAAAAACTCTTTGCTACCACATCCTGCGATGGACAAATTAATATCTGAAATAAAAATGTGTAATGCTTTGTCAAAAGAAAAAAATCAAATTATCCAAGTACTTGGCAGCTTTGTTTTTATGACAGTAGAATGCAGACAAGGGGCTTGGGATCATTGATAAACAGAAATTGAAAAATTCCCCGTAACTGGGTAAAAAGTGAATGAAACCTATATTTTGTGAGTTTTGTTTGATAGAGTTTGGTATAGTTTTAAAATAAGATCCAAAATTGTATGAGATTCTACATTTTGACCAATTATTCACATTTTAAATGTCCTTGATCTTATAACTTCCCCCTCTCTATTAATCCTCACGTTGCGGCCCTCGTAAAATACATGTCAGATGTATGTGGCTCGGAGTAAAAAAAGGTTGAGTACTCCAGCTCTAAATGCTCTTAACACCTTGTAGCCAAATACTTTACTACCGCAATAGCACGTTTGAGGAAATTGTGGTAATATTCTGTATCTTTTCTTAGCTGCTTCCTGTAATTGTTTATATAAAAAAGACTTATTTTCTTTTCGTGTCAACCAAACTAACATTGAATTTATATGTTCAATAGAATTTTCATGATTTTCTAAACAACTTCTTACGTGTTTCCAATCAGAAAAGCCAATTGTGTATTAAGAATTTGTTTCAGAAAAAAGTTTGCAAGTGAAACAAAAAACACTACCAATACTAGTTGAATAACAAAGCCAAAAGATCTTTCCAGCACCAGGCCATTTTTAAGTTCTTTAGTGAAATGATTATTAGAAAAGTATCTCTTTTGTTCTATGTATTCTCTTAGCGAAACAGAATATATATTGTTTAGATCTTTTTTTTTTTGAAAATAACTCATTTCAAGTGGAGGGATACAATCAATAAAATTATTACTTAGCGATTTAGGCCACAAACCTACATGAATAATCCTAATCTTCCTACTCCGTGTCTTCATTCTTAAATAATTTAGAAATGTGTATTTGTACTTACTTTTGACTTGAAACCAATAAACAGGTACCTAAGTATCTTTTAATTTCAGGTATTATGCATAGGACATTGCACCAAATCAGTATAATATTGTAACTACATTTGTATAAATGCTCTATGCTCATTGGCGCCGCTCTATGATAGAGACTCTATCATAGAGCAGCGCCGTGTACAAAACAGTGTAATTAATAAACTGTATTAATAATATAGTGTAATAGACTGCAATTAATAGAGCGTACTTAATAGACACTCTTTTAATTACACCGAGCAACAAAATTAAAGTTTTGGAGAAGTACTAAAGAGGCTATCAGTGGTTTTTATATTATTTAGTGTGCTGATTTCGAAAATGATCTACATTTTGTTCCCATCACATCAGGATTTTTTTGTAAAATCGATATTTTTTGCTAAAACTTTATTTGAAAAGGAATTCTTTCGAACAATTTAGCCTGGGCAATTTAGCAACAGTGGTTTTTATCCGGTTAAATCTATGTAAATATTGGTTCTTGAGGAGGCAAATCAATTTCTCAGCAATTAGATGAAAAGTGTGTGAGTGAGTGAATATTAACGTCACACTGTTCAGCTACACGAGAGATTTTGGCCCTGGACCTCATAATTTTGAACCATGGTCAAGTGACGAGGACGATACCTGAGCTGGCAACCCTCTCCTAACTATCACACCACATATACAGAATAACGTTTGAGCTCTCGACAGATTTAACATACATCGCTTCCCTACACGGAGGGTCTACAGCGATACTAGTCTCGAACTCATGACATGCCTGCCACGCGAGTCCGGTACCTTGGCCACTAGCAATTAGATGAAAATCATTGTTTCTAGACCTCACAGGCTGTCTCTGATCATAAGAAAAACAAGAAATTCTCTTGAGGTTTAAACCTATTACATCCAATTATAGTGTAATTTCTAAAAGAAAATCAGCAGCATACTATTTTAATTTGTTTGTATGAAGGTATTTAAATAAAATACATAGACGATTTTCGAAAATAATGATTATTAATTTCCGTGTATTCGGTGGTAGAGCGAAAGAACAAATTAAATTGCTCTTGCTCTCGAAAATAAATTGTATATGGTATTTTATTTTTGATTTGTGTGTATTTTTTACTGGTTTATTATGTTATTACTATTTTGATTGTAAGCACTTTTTCTGTTTGTTATCTTCAACGGGGAATGGGGGCCCCCTAGAATCCGGGGGCCTTGGGCTGCAGCCCATTCGTAGATCCGGCCTTGATAACATTAACATAAGGAACTGTACATTTTGTAATAAAACAGTGATAAATTTGAGTGTTAAAACACTTCTATTATACAAAAAATACACAAAAGATTTCAGTTTTTTTTAGCAATCACCGGCTCTGTTTCAGCATTTTCTAAGCAAACACATTTCGAGTAAAACGCGCTTTAAAGTATGACATCTTGCTTAAAGTAACGGCATCTGCTTTTACTAAAGCACTTGTAGTTTTTGTTCTAGTGAACGGGAAACAATAAACATGGTATTATTATAAAGCTAATAAGATGGCCTATTATACAACAAGATATCAATCATTGGCATGACCAAGTAATTTTAGCGCGTTTTTCACATGTTGTATTTTACAATAATGCAACTAATGAACTTTTTCAGGAAAATTTGTAGGAAAATTCGGAAAACTATGGTAAAATTTAAATATGATTCGGCTCATCTAGGGCACAAATGCGACCAAATGCCGAAAACCCGAGGTCAATTGGTTGCTTATTGTCCGAGAAAAAGGTACGACACACACAAAATATAGAACAAAGACGAAGACGAAATTTGCGTCCTAATAGCGCTTTTGTTCCACTACGTGAAAAACACGCTAAAAATGGACTTATTACACAGCTTATAAGATGGCCTATTTTTAAAATCATAAAAAATTTGTCAATTTTTGGTAAAATTCGTAATTTTAGGGTAGTCGGATACCTTAATTGCCATAGCGTAGTTTTTTTTTAATAGTTCTCTTAATGTTTATATGGTGTATGATGTTTCGTATGATTCCATACAAGTTCATAAAACAGCTTAGTTTAAGAGAAATTCCTAATTTTATGCATGGAAAGATAATTTTGAACCCTTAAGACATATGTATTTTGAAATTCCTGTTAAACTTTTTTTTTTAACTTCGCAGTCTGTTTACTTTTTGAAGACATTATATATAAAACTTAACTAACTACTTAACAGGAAATTTTGATTAATAATTAGCATTTATCTCTTGATGAAAATTAACTTTATTACAACAAAATTAATTGTACGTAAATTGTATATTCAATAATAGTTTGATTTATTAATACTTTGTGAAGCATTTAAATATATTTTAGATGATTAATAATACTAATATTTGATACCCTCGATTGTCTGACTGATTTAATAATTATCACCTACAAAAGTTTGAAATTTTCTTAGAAATTAAAATTTCTTCAAAGTTCAGAAAGAATATACTCTTTTATTATTATGTATCTAAGTTAAAAATAAATAAATTCCAATATTAAGAGAAATGGGATTTAATAAATTGTTTGAAATAAACTATTAAATGCAGTAAAGGAATAAGTCTTATGAAAATTTCTCGCATCCAGGAACATAGAAAACTTTTGTTAGATGGCCAGTTTAAAATAACTACAATTATTTTAATGTGCACCATTTATCGACTTTTAATTTTAACATTACATGAATATACTTAAAGTAAATAAAATGTTTAAGAGAAGTAAAGTGTGAAGAGTATTTTTTTAAAAGAGATGTGCCAAGAGAGAGAGAGAGAGAGAGAATTATTTAATTCATCTACTATTAGTTCACTCTCTCTCTGTATATATATATATATATTTTAATGTGAGTGAGTGAGTGATTTTGGGGTTTATTGGCGCAAGAGCCGATTTCGGCTATACTGCGCCAAACATTTGTTTTAATCTGTGGTCTAGACGGGAAGAGAGAAAGAAAGAATGAATTGAATGACAAGAAAGAGGGTCGAAAATAGAGAAGGATCACTAGGGTACCCCGGGTTCGTGAAGCCCGTGTTTACCAAAGACAGTAAACCCCGTGGGAAAAGATCACTAGGGCACCTCGGGATTGTGACACCCGTACTCACCTATAGAAGGTGAGCCCCCTGAGAGGATATATATTTTAATGTTAAAATTTTCAATTTATTTGTTTTCAAATATATATATATATATAATTTTAATGTTCAAATTTTCAATCGTTGATAAAATACTTTCTATTCCTCCATTCAAATACATTTTTTTAAACTTGTAGTGGATGACACTTTTTGAAAAAACTGAACTGTGTATTAACATATATTAATTCATTAATTAAAAAATGAATAAACAAAAATAGTTCAATACTATATATAGAAAGGAAAATCGCCCGTCGTGTCCTTGTAGCGCAATGGAGAGTGCGTTAGACTTCTAATCCAATTGTCGTGGGTTCGAATCCCACCTGGGATAGCCGAATTTCTGAGAATGTGATTTTTTTCTGTACTATTTTATTGGTTGTTGAGAATATTAACATCCCACTGTTCGGCTACACGAGGGCTTTTGGGGACGGTCCGCGTCATTTTGAACCATGGTCAAGTGACGCTGACGACACCCGAGCTGGCACCCCCCTCTCTTAACTACCACACCACACCAATGGGAGGACGTTTGAGCGTTAGGTCGGCTTCAGTTTATATTTGTTTAATACTGATGATACATTCTAGTTCTTTTTTTTTTCTGATCTATAATAATCCGTCAAGATATAGTAGAATCCTTTCAGAACGATCATTTAGCATTTTTTTAATTTGCTTATTAGTGGCGACTTTCGGCAGTTGGCTACCCATGCTCTATACAGTTACCGAATCCCTATTAAACGAATTTCGCAATTTAATGAATTTCTTTTTCCTCGATTGAAATGAAGGCAAACCCCTAAATGCAACGAATAATAAACCCCGAACTATTGAATTATTCCAACAGCCAAAAAATTTTTTATTAGTTTGGATTAGAAAAAAAAATTCATTTCTTTTCAAATGCCATACCCTTTTTGTTCGGAGTAAAATCCAGACTTTTCTTGTAAATAGCAAACTTCGACAGGGGAGGGAGCAGCCGATTATTAGACTTTACAGGTGGAGATGATAAAAGGCAGAAGAAAGGACATTCAAAAACCAAATAGCAGTTGTAAATTTTTGAACTAACAGTCTCATTGCTTTATTCACTGGAATTTTTTCCCCGAAAGGAGTGTCAGCATGTGAGAATAGTAAATTTTGATAGAACATGTACTTGAAAGAATACACACCCATCACATTCCTTTCATACACTCATGCATCATTCTCATTCAACGTGGAAACGTATTCAAAGTAAATACAATATAGATATATTTGCACATGTTTTCTGTCCCGACATCTGCAAATGTTTAACAGTCGATAAGGGAAATGGCACGAATTCTTGAATTAAGGGGGTTGTATTTACGAATAATCGATAATCAATTGTTAACTATCTTCATTCTTTCAAAAGAAGGGGAAAGGAGACAATTCATGGTGGTCCAAAAGTGATGCTCTTTCTGAAGGGCACCACTAAAAACTAGCACGCTTTGCACTTACATAAAGAAAAATCAGGATTAGAGCCGATCCTTGATGGTTCTCAAAATAAACCATATTGCAAGTCGGATAAATATGCCAAATTTTAAATAGAGTTATTGAAAAAAAAAAGTAAAAATAAGTCCTGATTTTTTCTCGATAGCACAGCCATAGTTTAAGAAAAATAGAATGTTCTTGCACAGACCCAATAGCCCGATTCGAAGAATCGCACGTCAAAGACAATGGACTAAATTCATGTGACGTCACGATCACGTGCTGTTTGTTTACTCCAGTAGCTACGATTATTTCGTTCTTTTAGTTTTACATTATAATTTTTAAAATGTCTTATTTTGCTCAAATGGTTGATCGATCATTTAAAGAAACGGTTATTGTAGGAAATAAAATCATTTTTTAAAATCTGAGTGTTTTGAACTCGTACTTGTTATTTGTCTGGTTATCTCGTACATAATTAGCTATTTGATACTGTAACTGAGTTGTTTATTTGGATTTAATAGTTTCAATTTTTCATTGCTAAAATTATTTCTGCTTGATTACAGAGGCGGATTAAGATAGTTGGAGGCCCCTGGCGGTAAAAGGTTTGAGCTTAAGAGTTGGGGCGGTAAAGACCTTAAGAGTTGAAAAATTAAAATAGTGAAAAGAGTCGTTTACTTTAAATTCTCAAAATAGAATATATTGCTAAAAAAAACTCATCGGCTAAAGAAAAATCTTAACTGAATGAAAAAAAATTGAAAACCTTACAGTTTTGCTATACAGTTTGATTTCTCTTTGGCAAGTCATCAATTATTTTTACCATATCTATTTTGTCCAATACATTTTATTCTGTATATAATATGGCCTTGTTGTTTAACTTGTCTTTTCTCTCATAGTACTTCTTGAATTATTTTTAACATGTTTTAAAACTAAAAAAGATCATTCACCTGATGCATTCGATTTCGTATTGTTAAAAATATTTTTAAAAGTTTTTCTACTTTAGGATTTGTCTTGCATCTCGATGAATTTCTAACAGGGGTTTCATTTGTATCTTTGTTTTCATTTCATTTCTTGTTCCAGGTGGCGTGGTTGGTTTGTCCCTGGCCTTTGCACTCATCAAGCTTGGGGCCCCTGGCGGCCGCCAGGTACGACACCCGGTTAATCCGCCACTGCTTGATTATGTATCCTGTTCTCATAGTTACATAATTAAAATTGATTTCAAGGCCAATTTTTGTTTTAAAAAATAATTTATGTAACTTAGAAGCTTCTTCATTAATTTTTTCTGTTCAAGATAGTGTTGAAAGTTTTTGTAGATACTCTCAAATGCATGTTTTATAAAAGTTAGTATGGATTCTGGTTTGAGATCTCTGGTTATATTTTTTAAAAAATCTTGTTTTTTCCAAGTTTAGCGAGAAAAATAATTATTACAAATCAACAAGGAAACAGATTTTCAAATCCATACTAACTTTTTTCGCAGTAACCTATGAAACATAAATCACTTAAAATGACTAAAAATTTTTAAAAATTGAGCATCTTATGAGTTTGAAAAGATTTAAATTCTTAATTTTTTTTTTAAACAATGAAATAATAGCTGGTCAAACTGACCTTTTGCTTTCAGAGAATCAACACAATATAATTTGAAAGAAAAAAAAACTTGTATTTTTGCTGTCACTGTCTCCAAAAAACATTTTTAAAAAAGGGTACTTTTTAGCTTTAAAAACAAAGTGACTTAAGCCAATTTAAAAAAAAACACACACCTCAATTACTGGAAATTATTTGTTATGTCTGGTTGTACATTTTTTCTTGTTTGAAAAATTCTTATTTTTGAATACTATGGCCAAAATATATTCAATTAATTTTATGACCTGAAAAGTTTATGGAATGTCCAACACAATAATCTTGTGATTCGCTGTTTTTATATATATATAATGTTATTCATCATTGAAATTGTACAGAAATATTTGTTTGGCTTGATACATTTTGAATTTAAATGTGAATGGAAATTTTATGCGACTATTCATTTACATATATATATATTGTATTTTTTCCATCTAATTTGCAATTCATTGTGCTGTAAAAAGGAAATTCATTTTCACCAATGGATAAATATTATTAATCAAAAACTTTCATATTAACTCACTTTAATATGAGATGAACAATGGCTTAAAGTAAACTTTTTTACAAGTTAATTGTATTC